TTCCCAAATATTGCTTTTGCGGGGTGCTTGACCAGGTGCAAGTCACACTGTTCAAAGAAGACGCGTCGCCTCCCAAAGAATGTCAAGGTCAAGCCTCCCCCCCACGTGGTCGCCCCGAACGGTTGCCCCAAACCGCAACGCCTCGCTCCAGGCGTGCACGTGCGGAGACACCACGCGAGGCCCATCGCCCGGACCAACCGCGCGCCCCGCGAGTCGAGTGGTGATGGGTCTTGGTTTCCGGAAGAGGATGACGGTGTTCCGTGAAAATGAGAGGTGCTGCAAGTGTAGCACTAGAAGAGAAGGAAGTTCTGATTGCTAGAAGGTCTGGGGCCACTTGTGAAGCTTCGTCACCAAGACGACTGGCTGCTAGACCAGTCTGGGGTCCTACCACATGGAGATCAGGAGTTGTTCGATTCTGAGCCTCGACCCGAGGACTTGAGCATGGTGGGATGTTGATTCCCCGCCTCTGCCAGGGCTTGAGATGGGTCGTTCAACCGTGTTCGCCCGACCAGTCCACCATCTAGCGAACGACCTCCGGAGGTCGTTCGCAAGGGATCCTGGTGCCATGACCCACAGACTTCTGGGAAACAAAGAAACCTCTTGACGAGTGATGTCACAGTGCTCTACTCCTGCTAACTCCCGCCCAGAAAAGGAAAGGAACGAATATGGACTGCCAAGAAAAATGGTCCTCTACTCTACCCTGGTTTTGGGTCTCTTGTTGTCTCGACATGTCTCGACCCACATTGATGACTGAAGATCTGCTCTTCTCCAAGCTGCCATGTTTGCTGCAAGCACTTGAGCAATGTGAAGAATGTCCCAGCGGCCCCGGTGGCGATTTGTTTCTCCCAGTTTCGCGGGCTTCGATCCGGCTTCCACCACCTTCCACCTGGCAATTGCATTTCTTATCAAGAAATATCTTCAAAATCCATCACCTTATAAAGGACCCGTAACCTGGGGTAGCCATGGGATAGTCTATATAATATGATTCAACCTCTGGTCAGGATGCTGAGTCTAGACTCAGGACACATTCCCTGGGCGGATCCTCTGTTCCAAAATCGCGGATTCGAGGCCAAGAAGGCACGGGGTTTCCCATGGCTGTTCAGGGGCTTGGGTTTGGGTGGTCCGTCTGAAACCATTGGAAGACCCGATAGGACGTCACCATCGTTGGAGGTCATTGTCTTTTTTTGGACAATTCGGAGAAAAGGAACATCTGTTGGCCGGCCTTGAAGTTGTTCATGGTATTAGTGCATGTCATTCTTATGGCAACTGAGTGCCCGAGTTGGTCCTCCTTCGTTTTGGGGCTCTCTATATGCAGAAACCTTCGATTGTTTTTTGAGAGCACTAACAGGGCCTTGCTTTGCACCCTGGTATTCCATCCACTCCTGTTTGCTTCTGCTTCCACAAGAAAGCCCTCAAGGTTGCCTCATGAGTACACCTGTGTCATCCAGTTACTCTCATCTTGCAGGAATTCACCCAATAGCATCCACTCCAACCAGAAACTGCATTCCGCGTCACCATGCCCAAACCTCCCTCCAAATCTCCAAATCTCCTTTTCAGCCTGGCCTCAGGTCGGCCCGTCGCTTTTCACCCCCCGGGGAGCTTTTCACGCCCGGGGGGAGCGGTCCTCTTTCGGACGCCGGAGGTCTCCAACGAGGTCCGAGAGACTTCGCTTCTGGTCTCTTCGCGGAGCGTTCGAGGCTGGCCCACTGCGTTGGACTGGGGGGGGCACAAGGTCTCGGGCACCGTGGTGCTGATGGTACCCATCAACGATCGCGCATTGAATGGTTTTTTGGGGGGTTGAGGCTCGAGACTAACCTGGCCAGTAACTAACTGTAGTGGGCAAGGACTGGCTTACAAGGCATGCCCTTCTCCTCTTCCTTTGTTTATGCAACAAAAAGGATACACCCTGGGCATTGATCTATATAATGGTCTTTACCCAAGAACCGTAGTTTTTACTAGGGTTTTTTCACTGCAAAACCAAAGTCGTTCCCATTTTAACCATGGTCGAACGGACGTTTTCCACTTGCACCTCGAAAGCCACGCGACGGTCGTGGCACCTCGGGTTGTTGTCCCGAGAGTCTCACCACGTCACTCGGTGCCCACTCAGGAGCTCAGCTCAGCGGCTGTGGGTCGAAACCCGACCCGACCGTCGGATACTCAGTGGTCTAGTCTGTTCATTTTCCGTGGTCCACCAGGGTTTTCGCGGTGCCATGACCCACAAAGGATCCACTCCAAGCGAATGGGTTCGATTGGGTTCGACTGGGTTCGGTGTCGCAAGCATGATCAAAAGCCTAACTGCCCGATTTCATCGACAGCGCTCCATTTCATTGAGGTTAGGGGTTTTGAGGTCAAAATGCGAACTTTGGAGGTGAAAGTGCCCCACAATCGGAGATGTTGTGCGGGTGACAAGGATCATAGCCGCTAACCGAATGGAGAGGCGAACCTCCAAAGCTGAAGATGGATCACAAAGCGTTTTCTATTTTGTGCGGGGTGCGGGTCGATTTGTCTTAGATCGCTCATGCATGAGGGCAAGAGTTGCAAGCGACTCCAAAAGCGGGGTTGGATACTCAGTATGGGAGTCTACCTGCTGTTGATAGTATATAGATGTATATAGTGTGCAATAGGATGCAATACGAGCATATTCAGGAAAGATCACCTGGGTGGTGGACGAGTACGGTCTTATTGGTCGTGTGCCAACAGAAAAATAGCTGTCACTGAACTGCAGAATAGTTCAACTTCTATCCGCAGGGGGTGGGTTGACCAACGCCACATGCTCACAGTTCTACCCGTGAAAGAGCAATCGACACCTGCTTTGCAACTGAACTTCTACTCCTGAGAGAGGCTTTGAAAGCGGCGTTGAGTTCGCCGCACAAATTCGCCACCTTTGGGGGGCACGAATTAATTAGACTTGGACGCTCAAGTCCGAGTAGCCAAACAAGCTGAATTAGTTCTCGCTTCTGTGAGTGTTTACGTCCAAGATTTTGTGGAAGGTACAGTGTCCAGCAATCGCAGTTCTGAGGCAAAAGGACGTGCGAAAGTGTCTTGCCTCTGGCAATGATCCCCTGTTCCATTGGAAGCTTGCACATGCATTGCTGGACACCCCTTCAAGAAGACATGCGCATGCACAAGGGCCGCAGTTGCCAGCTACGCCTGAAACTTGCGCGTTGCCACAAAATGGTCTGTTCTGTCAAATAGCAGGAAACGGTCCCTTCTCTAGTTTGATGGCAAAAAGCTCATGCTGCTTCACTTGCTCAAACAAGACTGGCATCCTCGCAGGGCCCGGACGAAGAAAAAGAGACCGCCGAGCGGGTTCGGATCACTTCGTGACAGTCCGAAGGCTCGCTCGACAGACTTGCTCGACGCGCGCAGCCACTGGGGAGAGAAGGAGGAGCGCGCTGCCACGGTTGGCAGCTCTGACCCATGTGGCAGTGGGTCAAAAGCCTAAACCCAAAACCTGGCCACAGTTGACCATGTTTGGCGACCAGGGTTATTCGAATCCAGGGTTTTTCCGGTGCCATGACCCACACCCATGTCTGAATGTCTTTGGTTCCAAAGCCAAATCACTACAGCATGCATGGGCATGCGAAGGGAACGCCAATGGCGCCATCTGTGAGAGCTGGGAGATAGTATTGGGCCATGTTGGGCTCCTTAGTGTAGTTCATTTACAGTAGATTGAAGTTGTTCAGACTTGCTCCACTTTCATGCCTCCGTCAGTTGCTGCGCTGTCAAGAGTGGCCTGGCCAAACACGGGGCTTTCCACCAGCCCAGGTGCCGGGCGCCAATCAGTTGGAGATCAGGGTTCCCAAACATGGACTTCATGCCTTTTCATGATGCCTTTTGAGAAGAAAAAGACCACCTTGGCCCCTCCATTTTTGACGGATTGGGCGAGGTTCCAGGATCCGTCCCTACCTTCTGGGAGCTCGTTTTTGTGGGGAGGCGTGGAATGAAAATCACGTGCACAGCAGGGTGGTCCAAGAAATGGACGAAGTTGACATCGAGTGGATTCAGTCGAGACGGTCTCACCGAAATGGTCAAAAAGGATCCACCAGGTTCAAGATTTACATGGTTTGATTGGCAGTGGGCTCTCATTCGGTGGAAGAGATCCTGAAAATGAGTCTGATCTTGGGTCAAGGCGATCAAGGGTCACTTCTCTCCCGGTGAAGTTGCTCCTCTTTTGATCTACCAAGAGCCGTATTGGCCAACTCTCCAAGAGAACAAATAGGTCTGTCCTAATGCCCCAGAAGATGAACTTCCAGACTTTAGTCAACTCTAGTCACTAAGTCATCCTAGCAGGGGGAATGACTTGACCTGTTCAAACCAAGGAAAGCGTCCTCAAAAAGGATTTTAAAAAAAAATAAACAGCACCCCCACTGTACCCCCACCAAGTCATCCTCCCACGTGGCGAACAAACGCGGTCTCCAGGAGACCGGACCAAAGGGGCGACTCCTCCGCCGGTGACCTCGCCGGGCTGTGTGCCTCGAAATGCTGCTGTGAAGGGGGGCGTCTGTGCTGGGTGAGTGAGTGTCCTCATCTCTTCTTTTGTTTGGGATGCACTCCCTGAAATCATCATGGAAGTGTATGGATGACATGTTCCTCTATTCAAACAAATGGTTTTCCAGGTCCTTGTCAGTGACTCAGAGTGTATCCGTCATCGACTCGTAGCATATGGGACATTCTTTGTTTCATCCTCCGAAGATCTTGAAGGCGAGGAAAGCGAAACCAAGCATCTGTGCGTGTGAAACGATGCTTCGGAGCTCGAAGATGAAAGCTGAAACAAAGATTCTCGTCCCTTGGTGAGTGGATCATGGGCACCGCTTCCCGAGACATTGAACTTGCTAACAACTCTCCAGAAGAAGGTGCACACGACTTCCCCGAACCCATGGCTATGGTTGAGAGTCTTTGGAGATCAAGCAAAATGCCCAACCCCCCATGGCGCTACCCATCGCCATCTCTGCTGTTGGAGGGAGTTCCCCCTTCCCCAACCCACAGCTGCGACACCTTCAACGGCTGGGCGGCCATTGGAAGTAGAAGGGGCCATCCAGCCTACGGAATCGTGGACCACGACCCGGGCGCCGCTTTTGCTGGACGCAAACCATCATTGGATCGATGTGGTTTGCGTGGCATGTCTTCAGCTGCCACCAGCGTGGGGGAGAATGTCAAGGGGCGTGGACAGCGCCGTACGCTGCTGGCTCTCTTCCCTCCGTGGACAGTGACAGCGTCCATGGACCCAACCAAGAAGACTTGAAAAGGACCAACTAGAAAACACCAAGCAGTAAGATAAGTCAATTTGAGACCCACTTCGACCTTTTCAGATTGATCGTTCGGAGACTGTTTGCATGTCTTTCTTTGGGCAGGTTCATCTGGCTTGCCATCCGCTCTCTTGAGGCTTCACAAGTCTTCCAGCACAGGTGAGAAGACTTGTTGTCCTCGTGCCCGGCCTCATCTCAGGCTCAACTCACACCTGGCGAGCAGCGTCTTCAAGGATGTCTGATACCTGGAACCAAGTTCGATGATGAGAATGACTGTCTAGTCTAGAACATCCCAGAACCAGGTGACAACCTCTGGATACAAGGGCTATGTTAGGGATGGTTTGCTCGTCTAAAGCGTCGAGGTCAACTGGGTTCCATATGTGACGGTACCGCTATAAAAATAGAACAATTCCAAATAAACATCCTGGAGGAATCTCATTTGACCAGCTGCATAGGTCCAATGGTCCAATCTGTGGCTGAACGCGTGTTTGATCGTGCACAAGATCCAAGTTCCAGGAGCTCCAGTTCGGCGCTACCGGAGGATGATCCACCCACTTCTGGATTATATAAGTCAACCATCCCGACCTGGAACAAGCTGCACCAGAAAAAGGATCTCCCTGGTGTTGGGTTGGAATGTTTTCAATTTTCAAGAAGCACCAGATAGACCCCAAACACACAGAACCAACATAGCAAACAAAAAGGTCGTTTGGTCTTTTTCCTTTTATCTCACCGGTGTTTTTTCTGTTTTGTTTCCGTCCTCCTCGCCCACAGCTTCCCCGCCTCGCGCTCGACGGGCTTGAAACCTCAGCTTCTCCCGATTCCGTCGAAAGGGGGAATGGATGACCTGGTCCATGGTCCGATTCTGGTCGAAGAACGATCAGAATCATGACTCGAAAATCGTGAATGCTCCTACGATTGATGACTTGCATCGAGAACTCCCACGGTGTGGGTGTGAAGACGCTCTTCAGATTCGACGACTTGCTCGATCACTTTGTCTCATTTTGCCAGTGGGGTCTTCCTATTAGAAACATGCGCCAATGCAGGTGTTCCGAAACTCTGCAGTTCTCAAATCTTTAGGGACCTTCAGGAGTCCTTCCCTTCATTTCCATGCCATCTAGGCTTTCTGAAAGGTCGGACAGATGGATCAACGCGTAACACTGAGTCAACTGCTGAAACACATCAGAACCAAATCTACCTCGGCTGATGGTTCGCTATGCAAGCCACAAACCCTACAGAGCTGGCCGGTGGACCAGAATCTCTGCCTTCTCGCGGCCACTGCTGTACCTTCCACTGACCATGTCTGCTGAGCCGTCCGGACGCAGCACGACGTAGCGGTCTTCCAGCTGCCTGAGGCCATGCTCACACCGCACACCGCCGCGGCCCTTGGCTCTTCGGTTGGTGAAGCCAAAGACCTTCCATGACCTTCCAGGGTGTCCTTTTGCCGGAAGTGACATCGATCCACTCGGCGGTGCATGAGGGTGCAGCGAGGTCTTGTGCACAGATCTCCAGTCACCCCCCCAATGGAGTGTTCCGGCGTTCCCGAACCAAAAAAACATGGGTGACTGGGTTTTCGGCAGCTTTTGTGACCGGGTGACCCATCTCAACGACCTTCTTTCATGGATGGTCATGCCGGCATGGCCCGAGTAGCTTGGCATGCCAAGCCCCTCAAAAGACAAGCTCCGAAACGCGCACTCACCCTTGTGTAAAGCCAAGTTGCTGTTCCTTCCATGCTTGCTGAATGAACGCCCTGGCCGTGCGGAAACGGTCTTACTCGAGTGGGTCACGTGGAACGTCCATGGTTGATGTTGAGTTGATGTTCAGGATGGACATGACCCATCTCCAAGGCAAAATACCACTCATCATAATATTCCATATGGCTGTAAGTACCATTGAATATTGACATGCCTAATAGAGGAATCTATTAATTTTCGGTGGTCAACCAGGGTCCCCTTGTCTTGACCCACTGCCATATGTGGTGAGGAGTCTTGTACTGACCCGGTTCTGATGACTTCCCCTCTTCGCTTCCTCCGGCTCAACAATGTGATCCGCTAAATGGCAGCTGCTTATCACCTGCTTATCGTGGCACCTTCCCCAAGCAGAACGTTGCTCACCCCCACCACACAAGTATGTCAACCTACCATGGGGTCAAGCGACTTGGAGTGCTTGGTTCCCACACCCTTGGGGTACCAACTCGGCCTGGTCCCCGTTGGGCCCGAGTCAGGACAGCAAAAGGTTACTTTCGTAGGTAAGGCACGCAAAAAAACTTACACTTATGTTTCAGCTTTCCTCTGCCCAAGGACAAGTGTCGGAGAAGCTGTCTACTAGGCATTCCAGAGGTTCCACTTGATTATATATATATATATTATATATATATATATTATATTATATCAGATTCTCAAAAGGAATTCACATCTTTATGTTGCAAGGCCACCTAACCATCTCATGCATCGGTTGCCTGGCGTCCTGCACCCTGGACCCGGTGTCACCGCCAAACGGCCCACCCACGGGCCGCGTATGGCCAACCGCGCACTCGTCCAAAACACGCTCGGCGCACTTGGGTTGCTCCAGGACGCACTCCTCGTTGATGAAGGTCAACAAATCTCCAGCGCGCAAACTCTCGGGCACTGCCTGCGGTGAACTTTCGACGCTCTCAGGTACGCAGCCGAGCGCGGCCGGAAAGATTTAGGGCAAGTGGGAGAGGTGCAAGAGTGCTTGTTGGGTGATCAAACAGAAAGAGGGGTGCTGGCAAATTCAAAGAAGAGAAGACGTCGAACTGGAAGCCCCCCGCAAACCCAGTCTCATTCCGCGCACCAAACAGCACTGTCGGTCTCCGGGCGTCTCACCTCCGGGCAGTTCTTGTTGATGACCTTCACCACGGCTCCACGCTCCGTGAACTTCCAAACGATCGACTTCATCTGGCAGAGCAAAGAAACAAAAACCCATGAGTGTCCTCGTGACCGAGAGCCGCTTTTCCGGACTAGGATTCCAAGTTCGGTGACCTCATCGGGACTCAAGTAACCTCTTTCCCTCACAAAATCTCACTTTGAAGCTCCTATATAGAGATGCAGCCAGCCCGCCCCTTTGCACGCGGGACACGTGCACACAAAGAATCACAAAAATAGAGACACTTTTTCGGGGTGGCCTTTTTGCATGGGGAAAAACCACAAACACCAAACGCAGTGCCTCCTCCACGTTGTCGGCGTCCAACTCCAGCGTGAGGATGCTCGCCCGTGGCTTCGGACCGGTGACCTGGCGAAGCCCACCGGACCGGACGAACCGGCGGGCGGCACGGGCCGCCAAACGCGGGGCGAACGGAGGTCGGCAGCGTTCCAAAGTTTTGGGGTCCCCCAGGTGAGTGGATGTCGGCACCCCCAACCTTTCAAGAGGTGAACGTCTTCCGTGACCCTACCCCCAAAAAGAAACGAAAGACCTCTCTTCTTGCCAGTCCTGAACAGAAATCCACCAGTGCCACCGCTCCCCACCAGCAAAAAGAGCACCCTTTCTCCTGGCCTCGGACTTGCGGCGGAAGCCGTTCTCCACCAGCAGGTCCGATTCGCTGTCTTCTGGCCTCGGCCGAGGGATCTCAGACGTGTCTGACGCAGCGTGGCGCGAGCGAAGACGGAGAGCCGAGCAGCGGCCGGTGGACAGTTCGCCAGAGGCCATTGGTGTTTTACTAAAGCCCTACTGAATTAAGTTTGGCGTCTAGTTCGCTACTAGGCTAAGTTAGCTTCTAGGATAGCTCACACTCGCACTAATGATTTGCTTCCTAGATGTTTGGGGAAACTTAGCATGAGGAACTCTGGTGGCGCCAAAGGTCAATTTCGAGGTTCGTAGCTGCAAACTCAGCTGTCCATGAATCATAAACCAACTGCTGCGGGCAACCAAAAAACTCTCTTCCGAATGAAGAATGGTTTTACTATGTTTTACCTATACCACTAGTAGATGCACTCTAGATGACTCTAGCAAGTCTGCAGGCTTCTCCCATTGTCCTGAACTCGGCGCTCCCGACGCAGGCGGTTGCGAGAGCATCCGCTGCTCCGAGCCTCGAGCTAGAGCCACATGAAAAGGACTCCCCTCAGCATGGTTGGGAAAGGCCGTTGAAGATGTTGAAGAGGTGAACATGTGCCGAAACATGCTGTTTCAGCTGGTTTTTGGAAGATGCTGACGTCCTCACTTCTTGGTTTGTGAGGGCCTCCTTCAGATTCTCTTCGCCGCCTAGTGAAAGATTGAAGAAATTGCCCTTTCTGCGCCTGACAACCTGGAACGGCGCTCCTCACGCGAGAGGCGGGGACCTGGCAGGACGCTCTGAGGTCGCTGAGAGGTCGCCGGTCGGAGTCTTCGCACGACGGTTGGATCCCTGGAAGTCCAAGACGATCTGGCAAAATGGTCTGACTAGGAGTTTCCTTTACTTCGCCCCAAAACGTCGAAACGGAACATCTAGATACATCTAGGGTGGAGGTGGAAAGCACCTTGTTTGTCGAGGAAAACAGGGAAAAGAGTCGAATCTATGTCGGGTGGAGAGCTCATTCGAGTCGAAAGCAATGTGACGTCTTGCTTTGGAATGGAATTCAATCTTGGATAAATTCCCGGATGGGACTTTGAGGGTCTGGGGCACCCCACCAGTTGTGAAACCGAACTTGTGGGAGGTGAAAGTCATCACATCCAATGCACCTAATTTTCTATCCTGGAACCCCAAACAACCAGAAACAAATGGTTGTTCCAATATGGCAATTGAAATCCTTTACATAGGAAATGGTTGTTTGGGGAAACATCAATTTCTTTCTGGTTGTTTGGGGTTCCAGGATGTTCTAAATCCCAGTGGACATCTTACTCAGTCCGGGTGAACTCAACCAATCCGTTGGACTCGGACGGATGACTCATTTGCTACTGAAACCAACCCGTCCGGCCGCCGTCGGCTCAAGCTTCGGCCTTCGATCCCAGCTTCACCATTTTTTCGGGGAAACTTCAGAAAGCCTTCTCCAGAGCCAAGCTGAGGACTTCCATGTTCAGAGCGCTGAAGAACAAATAAGAGTCGAAAAAGCAACGACTCGGCCCGACGAGTCGACGCCCGAGTGTCGTACGAGGCCACTCACGGCGGACACGCGGCGCCCACGGGTACCGCACCTTCCTGAGAGGCGCGACGGCCCAGGGAGCGCAGATCACCTGGGCGCCAAATCGCCGCTCTTCAGCAGCTGGAAGCTCGGACCCTTACCTATATTGCGGATCTCTAGACAAGACACCCCAGGTCCAAGAAGGCTTCGGAACGTCCATTTGGACTCACGAAATACCCCTCCTGGCAATCATAATCCACTCCCTTAGCTGCTTCCTTTTTCAGAAAGGCACCTCTCATACAAGTCCTTGCTCGAAGCAAATGAACCGCTTCTCTGACCTGGACTTGGATTGAAAAAATATGAGTGCACATACAGTGGATTGAGAGTAGTAGATGGCACAATCCGCAAGTTAGGAGGTTTATATGGACCCCACTCGTTACAAACACCTCGCTCGGGGACTCTCGCTTGTTCAGCCGTCTATGCAAAAAACGAATCACCTCGAAAGAGAAGCACTACTCTTTTTCATTCGAGTGTAAACAGGCGTGGGGTCGTTACACTCGATCATCGACCAATGAAAAAGAGTGAAGGGACCGAACAGTACCGTGATCAAACGGGTTCAGCTCATCGTGAGCTTGGCTCTTCACGAGCCCCACTTGACCTACGGAAAACTGAACAGTACAGTATGAGTTGGTTGACCTCAAACGGATCCCAGACTCTCACCACCTCGCTTTCACATCTGCTCTGCACTGGGTCGAGCGAGCGACACTCCACAACGTGTTCACGAAAGGATGGCTTCTGGCCAAGCTGCATCGATCGAGAGCCAGGCCGTTTCGCCCGTGCTCAAAATCATCACGAGACGGAGCATCTGCTGGGTTCGAATCGGTCGCGACCCTCTCGATGAAAACACGAATGCGCAATCTCGGAACAAGGTTCCAGAACTCCGACACGAGAAGGCAGATGTCCTCCTTCCTAGAATAACCTTTTACCAGAGCGGCTTCCACCACTTCTGAATCGGTGAAGATGAAAAGGTCTGTGCGAAGCAGCTGATCAGCAAACGTCTCCAGCGCTACGATCGTTGCAACCATCTCCACTGGGAGCCTTCTTCGATTGAAAAGCACGGCGCCTATATCCGATCCGGTCGGGGGTCAAATTCCTTAGGATCGGGCGAGAAACCATCGGTGAACAACACACAGTCGGCGCGTTTGTTAGCACAGAAGTCGATGGACCTTGGGGGTCTGGCAGTCACCAGAAACAACCACTGTCTGAGGGACTCCCAGGGAGACGGACCCAACCCAAAGCGGCCGAGAGAGTCTGACTTCAAGATCGCCTCAATTTCATCGGATAACTCCTGGCGACGGCCTTCTTTGATCTCTAATACCCAATCGGCCAGATTGTAAGTCACTCCTAGCACGACTGGCTTGTCCGAGATCTGGCATCGAAGGCTGCCAAAAATGAACTTTTTGTGCCGCGAGAAAGACTGACTGAATCATCTCAACGGGTTCAAGACCATACTTGTCATCATAGAAGTTGAAAGATACCAGCCCGAACAGGCGCATCAAAATTTCATCAATGGCAGCGGATCTACGAGTGTAGTTATATACAGCAGACACCAACCCGAACGAGTGTCCTACCATCACAAAGAATACTGGCTTCCTCGAGCTGTGGTTCTTGAGACAGATCACGCTGAACTTTCTATGCTCAGGCCAAATGCCCACCTGTCGGTAAGCTTTCCTCTCGTCAAGGAATCAGCCTGCAAAGCTCGAGTCTAGGAAGGACGATCTGAGCTTCCTTAGTGCGGCCACGTTCGTATCGGCCGACGGTAACTGGAGTTTCTCAGTGGTCCAAGTGATCTGGTTGACCAGGTTCGTGGTGGCACTGTCGCAACCTCGGACCTTATTTTTCTGAACAACCTCGAGTCTCTCAGCGCGGTTCCAATCCTCACGTCCGAGCAGGTTAGAGATCTCCTTGGCTGACTTGAACGGTCCTAACGAAGACCCTTCACGACCGTCTTCGAGCGTTGCATCCCAGATTTTTCTGCAGGTTCTCTGACACTGGAACTCCTGCCACACGAGCTATGATCTTAGACCTCACCATTCTACCTAACTTGCCACTGGTCTGACCCGCCAGCGTATGTATATATTTCTCAGGAGAGCAAACAAGTTGAACTGTGGGCGACGTGATTCAGAAGACCCGATCAGCTGCAGTGTGGGTGATTTCTTCCACTGAATTCTTTGCTCCTACGTCAGTCTTGTTCGGCCTGGCTTGGCCATCGCAAAGCGACCATCCATGGCAATGGATCACTGGATCAATCCCCTGCCTTCATCGCCAGCATAGGACTTGCGGGTCGCGACACTCAGCTGGATATTGTTGAGGGTTAGTGATTTGGGGTGCTTTGTCACAGGGCTTTCCCCAGGCCAAGAGCTGGTGGTCCAAATCTTTCAAAAAGAAAATACGAGAAGGAAGACCGTTATACTCTGCAGGGACCTGCAGCTGACCTGCAATTAGCTTCCTTGCCCACCCATCCAAGAACCCGCCGCTCGGGCAAAGGTTGGAGCCAGCTTCGGGGCGATATCCACTGGTCGGGTGCCGGTCCGTCCAAAATCGGCGGCATCACTGTAGCCAGGACCTCCTCCAAGCAATCATGGCCCTGGAGGGCGAGTGCCTCGGCTTTCACCATGACTCGATCCTTCTTGAAGAACGGGCTGTCGCTGACGGGCTGTCGCTGAACGGGCTGTCGCTTTCACTCTGTCGCTTTCCAGCCATACCTCGCGCCGACCTGGTCCGGACGGGCTTATTGCAAGGCGTTGGCACAGCCAAAGAACGGTAATTAAAAATCTCTGTTCAATGCGGCTGCATATATTCTTGCATCATCGGTGTTTTCATCGAAATTATGATGTCTTAAAACGTTTTCGGACGCAAATTTCTTTGTGATATGCAGCCAGTTTTGCCTCGGTTTCCCAAGTCGTTTGGTGCCGCAATCAACTCTGGATGCAGTGCTATCAACTAATGAGACAAGAAGTAGAAACAAGTGCATCGCTTCTAGTAGCAAGTGCCTTACTAGTAGTAACAAGAAGCTACTAGAAACAAGTGCAT